GTGTGTGTGTCCCACATCTTGTCCCGCACTTTCAACTCGGGAACCACAAAAGCTAGGCGGCTGAAAATTTGGTTATAGTGTTCCTCGCCAGCGGGTAACGCGGCAAATTTAAATTCAGCCTTCCCACACCCGTGGGTAACACGTACGGCCCCGTAAAAGTTTTGGCGGGTAAAATCATTATCTCGGGAACCACGAACTAAGACGCTGAAATGTTGTGGGTATGTCCCCTAAGTGCGACCAAGAAAACTCGAATTCAACCTTCCTGTACCTGCGGGTAACTCGTATGGCCTCATCATTATCTCGAGAGCTATGAAAGCTAAGAAAGTGAAATTCTGTGAATATGTCTTCTGCCCACGTGCGACCCAAAGAACTTAAATTCAACCTTCCCATGTCTGTGTGTAACGTGTACGGCCTCGTAAAATTTTTGGCGGGTAAAATCGTTCGTCCAGGCTAGGGAACTAAAATTTCATGGGTATGCCCCTTTCACCACGTGCAACCCAGAAAATTTAAATTCAGTTTTCCTGTGCGCTTGGGTATCGCGTACGGCCTCGTAAAAGTTTTGGCAGAAAATTATCTCGGGAACCATGAAAGCTGGGAAGCTGAAATTTCAGGACGATATTTTCTGCCACTGCAGGTATCTCACAAACTCAAATTTAGCTCCCAAGTATGCAGAGGTCTTACGTTAGATCAAGTGAGAATTTTGATGTGAAAATCACCAGCCCGGAAGTCGGGAAATAAGTTGAAATTTGGAAGGATGTTCCACATCCATGTTTTCAAATTCAGCTTTCACGTACCGGAACGTGAAATTTTCAGCGGGAAATTCCTCGCCTTAGGACCCAAACACTTACTATTTTTGCATATACGAAAGTATAAAACAGTTATATTTCTGGCAAGCAAACGTCCACTGGACGGAACTGCGCAAAACGCATGATCGCACTGGCTACCCTGGTGCGCTTCGCTATTTATTATTCTTGTTTTTTTCTCCCTCCTCGTTTTCCCATACAAACAGATTGTACTAGTTCTAATTTAATTCTGATTCTAAACAATAATAGAATAGTATATTAACAAGGGATGAAATAGGAACAATCAAAAAGGAAGGTAAAAAACGAGAAATGAGAATTAAAAAATTAGTAAAATTATTATAACTAATTCCAAATAACTCTGATTCTAAATAACTCATTTTCACTAAATTCACTTTCTTTAGAAAAAAAAATTATAGGTAAGTAGAGGCGAATATAAGAAAATAACTCGAACAATGTGCATGCGCTAC